GGGGACCGCATGATAGGACCGCACGAGAAGACCGGAGGCATTTGTTGGCGAACGCCTTTGATGTACCGACTCGAAACGGATGGTCGAGCGAACGAACGAACGAACGGCCGCATGCGTTCGGTCCCCGTCTAAATATACCGCACTTTCATTCGTTCGTTCGTTCGTTCGTTCGGATAATGAATACGCACCTTAAGGTATGTAGCTTGGCACAATGACCCCGATTCAGCTATTGATGGCGTTTACAATAACTTGGCCATCAGAATATTTTTCGATCATTACTAGGGTTGTAAATAAAATAATTACTGATAAAGCTAGGGGTATCTTAGTTGTTCCAAAATGGACTGTCCAACCCTGTTATCCACTGTTTATAAAAATTTTAGCTAAAGATACCATTATATTCCGACCTAATCCACAGTTAATTTCTTCCTTCTTTCAGAGGCAACCACCCATTATGGAAGGACCTTTCCCTGGTGGTAGGATGTGTATCAGGCAATCTTTTCTATCAAGGAACTTTCCAGAATCAGGGATTGAGGCTATTTTAGCTTCGATAACAAGAAAAACGTTGAGTCAATATTCTACATATTTAGAAAAATGGTGGGTTTTCTGTTTAAGTAATAACCAAAACCCCTATACGTATAATCTAAACCAATGAGTTACGTTTTTAAGTAGCATGTTTGATACGGGAATATCATATGCCACTATTAATTCTTGCAAGGCTGCCTTAAGTTTAATCTTAACATACCTGATTCAGATCAGCACTATATTAAAAGAAGAAGAAGAAGGATTTTATATAAGACGCATCAGCTGCTGGGCCATTTAGCGGCATTGATCAAATTAAAGTTAAATTAACTATATTATATTAAAAGATATATGAAAGGCTTGTATAATTTAAGACCAAGCAAATCTAGGTATGATACCACTTGGGACCCATTTCCGGTCCTTTGCTATTTAGAGAAATTGTATCCCTTAGAATCCCTAAGCTTTTTTCACCTGTCGTTAAAACTTATATGACTCTTAGCTTTAACAAAAGGTCACAGAATCCAAACATTTTATAGAATAAATATTCATGATATTTGTGTTTCGGAAAATATAATAAATTTGCCTTCTTTAAACATCTACATGTGTATTATGTAATCTTGAGGAGGAGATTGTGAAATATAATTGATAAATTAATCGACTTACCTGTAGGATGATTAATTTCAATTATGTGAACAATCTCCTCCGAAAAGATTACATACCCATACCCACCATCTTTAATTCCTTTTACCCAGTTTAGAAACAATTTAGTGCCGAAATGAACTGATAATGGTCCGATCGGGCAGCGGGGACAGGATATGATTCAGCGGTCAGCGGCTCGGAATTTTATCACTTTAAACTTGTGGTCGTCTAGCAGAGAAATGGAAACTACATGTGTATTATGTAATCTTTTCGGAAGAGATTGTTCACATAATTGAAATAATTAATCATCCTACAGGTAAGTCGATTAATTTATCAATTAAAAAAACTCTCAGTCCTTTAGAAAGGAAATTAGCTAGTGAAAGTAAATATTTTCTTTAGATTCATCAGAGTATGAAGGTAAATAAAATGATGTAATAGTACAATAAATAATGCTATTTTAATTTGGAATTAATATTTTGCCTATTTTTGATTGTTGTCCTGTCATATTTTAATTTCCTATAATAGAGAATTATAGAATTTCTAAAAAGAGGGCTTTAACTAAAACACACAAAAATATATTAAAAAAAGCAAGTGGAGCTTTCTTTATTTTGTAAAATAAAGCTTATCACTACCAAAGTTTACAGAATAAAATCACTACAGTGCGTATGCGACTAAACGCTTATGTCCGAAGACGAATGTCCACCAATCAATTTCGTTTAAGAGAAGGTTTGAAATTAATCCGCAATAGAGCCTAGATTTTAGATCTGCGGCTATTAAAGCATCTTTAGATGATTAGGTACTTGTTTGACAAAAAAAATATTAAAATTTTTGTCAAAAGTAAAAGCCAATAATGAAATAAGAAAATCAATAGCTGAGATCAAGAAAACCAAAAAGATAGATTTTTCTTCACGGGCAGGGCCATCTGGAGCCCAACATTGAAATAAAATACAACCACCAAACCAAACTAACCCAATATGATCACAATTCTAACATCTGTTATTAATCACATTCTTCCCCCTTGGTTTTTCCAAGCTCGTGAAAAAACAAAAAGGCGTATGAAAGATGAATCTGAGAAATAGTTTGAATTTGATTATTATCCAAACTATTAGATGAAAGGTGACGAATAGCCCATAAGTCCATATCTATGATTTAACCACAATGTATGGCAAACAAGTTTCATCAAAGGAAACCCACAAGCAGTAAAAGAGTATTACTACAAGTCTGCTAGAATAAATATATTTCTTTTACGTATATATCTATTGTAAGTTCGATATACAACAAATTTTACTGCTAAGCTATGCAAGAAAAAGGTGTAACCAGAAGACTTCGTACTCGACTACTGTACGGCGGGGTATAAAATGGTATCGGAAGGTGCCATAGAACTACTGACAAATACTGCAGTAGTGAATGCGTATATAGCATATCAATCTGTTATGAAAAGCAATATTAGCATAACTAAATTTAGAGAGGAAATTGCTAATAAAATTTTTACTGAGCGGTATAGTGTAGTAAACATTCCATCTGAAGATACTTCTAGAAGTCATAAGTTGATTGAGATAGAATCAAGTGGTAGATGCATAAAACGTTACAAAGAAAATAGCGAAAGAAATGGGCGTGCTTACGCGATGTCAAAGAGTCCACGGGTGAAAATGCGTTGCCAAGGATGTGAAGACAAAATTTTATGCATGAAATGTTTTTTTGCCTTATACAACTGTAATTTACGTAAAAAATAAGAAGCGTGTCCAAATATTGTACACGTAGTTCGTTGTAAAATGATGTTTTTTTTATACATAAACTATGTGTGCCACACGTGGATACACTAAAATGACATTTTTTTGTTAAAAATAAGTTATGTCTGATCGCTCTGGGATCCGTTATTGCCGAAATATGTAAAATTTGCATCACGCTTCAGGAAATAGCGCCGACTTTGAAGAATATGTCATGATAGACGAAGAGTTAGCCCACGGCACAGAAAGCGATTTTTGCTTTTTTGCGTGTGAAGCACTTTTGCGATTGTACCGTTTGAAGCTTTTATTTCGATTTGTGTCCATAAAAATCTTCGGTTTCGTCTTCAGTTTCTATCAAGCTGTCAATTAGTAACCAGAAAGCTCTTGGAATTCCCGGCCCGTTCAACAATCAATCCTTTGAGAAAGAGATAGGTGAGATCGGCGCGATTAGCGTTGAAAAGACGATCGGTGACGGTAGGGTGAAAAAGACAAACATTGATTCATTTTTATTTTAGTGAGACATAATATCTTATATTTTCTTTTAATTGTTTAATAAATAGTTGAGTGCAAATACTAAACATTTGTTCTCTTAACATATCAGAAGTGGGATCTGAACGTGTGTTTTTAAAACATTATTTGTTAGTGAAGATAAAGTGTTATTTGCTAGTGAAGATAAACATCTGAAAACGAAATTGCATAAAATATTACGGAATTATTCTTGAAAAGATTATTATTATCAAACCTCAAAAAAAATCACGAAAACTAGTGAGCATGGAATATCCGCATAATTATAAAAATCGACGACTGCGTTCCCGTTCTCCATCTCGAGAGCGTTCTCATTATTACAGTGATAATCGCAGATTAGAGGAAAAATTTGAAAAGCGTTTCGAGAAACTAGAACAACTTATACGTAATAAAGTGGGAACCGGCGCGGCGCATCTCCGGACTCAGAACATAGAACGCCTCCCGGTACACCGCCGTCACTACGCCGCGGCCGCCACCGTTCCAGGGGTGAAATTCTGTACTCTTGAACGGTAACGACCGATTTCGGTAATGCACCGAGAGTCATCGTTTACCAATCGGTCGGTCGTTTAAAACGCGCTTGTATTTTATGCAACCAAACGACATCGGTGCAAAGCGATTCGTCGAGTTGCCGAGCATTCGGTCGTTCTGTGGCCTGTTTAAATATTTTTTATAATGGCTGAGAGGTATGTATACATTATTGTTGATGTTTTAATTTATATTTGTACCGCATACACAATGTTAATGAAACTATACATAAATGTATTCGCCATTTGTGTCTTCTTAAAACAGAATTATAGGTTAGGTAGGTATACTTTAAAACTTGGGACTGTCTACCTTACAATATTAATATGAAACACCCTGTTTGCAACATTTTACACTTTCAGGTACACCAAGTAAATCACGTTTGAGCGTCCAGTTAGGTGAAGCAAGAGATAGATTTGCTGCCATTGCAGATCGAACTGCAGACGCCTTAAGTGTAGGGTCGCCTTTTGTGTATTTTTCAAATCATATAGTTTAATCTTAATTAATTAATTTCGTAGGTACTAGCAGAAAGTAGCCGACTACAGGCAGAAGCTTCCCTCCGCCACGCCAGAAATGAAGAAAAAATGATTGCGATACTGGAGAGGTTTGCGAGGGTGGCAGAGAGAGCCATTAGTTACTTGGAGACTAAAGAATAACTAATAAAACTAAACTAATACTGAATTGTATTTTTATGGATTAAAGATTTAAATTGATTATCAAACCTCAAAAAATCACGAAAACTAGTGAGCATGGAATATCCGCATAATTATAAAAATCGACGACTGCGTTCCCGTTCTCCATCTCGATACTCTATTATTACAGTGATAATCGCAGATTAGAGGAAAATTTGAAAAGCGTTTCTGAGAAACTAGAACAACTTATACGTAATAAAGTGGGGAACTCGGCGCGGCGCATCTCCGGACTCAGAACATAGAACGCCTCCCGGTACACCGGCCGTCAATTACGTCAGCGGCCGCCACCGTTCCAGGGGTGAAATTTGCAATTTTGAACGGTAACGACCGATTTCGGTAATGCACCGAGAGTCATCGTTACCAATCGGTCGGTCGTTTAAAAACGCGCTTGTATTTTATGCAACCAAACGACATCGGTGCAAAGCGATCTGTCGAGCTTGAGCATTCGGTCGTTCTGTGGCCTGTTTAAATATTTTTTATAATGGCTGAGAGGTATGTATACATAAAACGGTTGCATCGCGTTTGCAAATTTCAATCGTGCAGCATTCCTTTCCTCTGCAGTTAGCGGAAACCGTATTTTTCTTCTCAAAAAGACATCGTTTATAGAGTCAGTGACAGCATGTACACATCGACTCACAGATGGTTGACTCATAGTTAATCCTTCTTGATTTCCTACCGGATTTTGATAACTTCCGGTAGAATAAAACCGCAAAGCTATTAGAACCTACAGTAAATTATAAGCAATACCTATTATTGTTATATCTTATAAGATGAATATTTTTCAATGTCACCTGTTTTTCTACGGATAATCCATAAAGACGTTGACGTGCCAAGTGAGGGCGAAGAGCTTGTATCAAATCTGTGGCCATATCAGGAGAAATACGATACAAATTTATAAATTCATCATCTGGAAGTTCCAAAGGTTCCATGACATCTCTTAGAGCCCTTCGTTCTACTCGGCGTTCCATTATTCTTACTCTTCTTTCCAAATGTAGTAAATCATAGGCAAGATACTCCATTTTTCAAATCAAAACTAAGAGCGAGGGAATAATGTCAGGTTATAAAGTATTACCCCCACCAACTTGATTCTTTTTCAAGTTGGTGGTTTTTCAAGTTCTTTCGTGCATCAAAAAGTAAAAAAAAAACGTTATTTGGCCTGGTAAATAGTGTAAGCAGAGGACAGAGGCAAACTTATTTTCGTTTCCATAACACAAGTTTTTTATTCGGACTACATGAAACACTAAACACGAAACGGAAATGACTCCACCTCTGCTACTCATAGTACGTTTTAGCGTATCCTAAAGCTAATTTTATTCTACAAACGTTTCTCTACTTCTACCAATGCTAATTATTATTACTTACCTTCGTATGTATAATATGTACTTTTGTTTTCTCTTACTTCAAAATCTATGATGTGGTGGAAAAATCGCTAAAATTTTTCTTAATCACATCCAAACACATTTAATTTCAAACAATTTAATAACAGTCGTTCGACACGTTCGACGGTCGTGGAAGCTGTCGGTCGAGGAACGATTGTTTTCGCTCTGTTTCACCGATTTCGGTAGGCCGCGTAAAGTCCGGAATTGCAATATAAGGATTTCGGTCGGTCGACGTTTGACCGATACCGAAAATTGTCGTTGACTAGTACAGAATTTCACTCCAGATCAAGATCTCGTTCTTCGACGCCTATTAGACTAATTCGTGATTTGAGGACACAGCGGTCGGAGTCGAATAGCCGCAAATCAGTCGATAGCGTATCTCAGCGTTTTGTCGGTCGTATGGAACTTATACCAGAATTTGGCGCCTCAACTCAAAGCTTAACGATAACGCAATGGTTAAATAAAATCGATTCCGTTGGAGATCTTTACGGCTGCGATAATAAAGCGAGAATACTTTGCATGATAAGCTGTCTCAGCGGCAACGCAAAAGCTTGGTATGATAGTCAAACAGAAATAAACAATAACTGGCACGAATGGAAAGAGAAATTAAAACCAATTTTTCCCTCTGTTCGCTCAATTGCAACTAAAATAAAAGAATTTGTAAACTATGAACGTCAGTATAATGAAGATGTAGTTTCATTTTATTATAATAAATTGCGCTTGAGAATATTTGGAGGTAACTACCTATACTTGTAGGTACTGTAATTGAAGGTCAAATCTGTCGCTTGATTCAAAACCAGCCAAGAATTTTAATTCCAAAATAAGTACGCTGGAGGGTAACAAGATTGCATCATGTCGAAAATGGACATCCTGGTATTCGACGTACCTTAGAATCAATAGGAGAGAAGTATTGGTTTACAGATATGAAAAACTTTGTTACAAAATATGTCAAACACTGCATATCTTGTCTGTGTGCTAAGAAACCAACGGGGAAAAGAAGAGGTCGACTTTATCCAATAAAGTTAACAAACCATTTCATACATTACACTTGGACCATTTAGGCCCATTTTGTAAAAGTCCAAAAGAAACAGTTATATGCTAGTCACTGTAGACTCGTTTACAAAATACACTTGGATCGAAGCAGTTCCTGATACTGGAGTTACACATGTGATTAGTACTTTGGAATTGCTGATAAAATTTTATGGTATACCAGAGAGAATTATTACAGATCGGGGAAGGTCCTTTACAAGTAAGGCAATGACAGAATTTTGCAAAAACAACAACATTAAACATATACTAAATACAATTGCTAGTCCAAGAAGTAACGGACAAGTGGAGAGGTTCAATGGAACTATTCTCAATGCTTTGACAGCGGCCGTTGGGAATGATTATGATCTTTGTGAAGAGGAAATAATTGAGGTTCAGAATGGAATTAATGGTTGTGTTAATTCTACTACGAAAAAGTCTCCTTTTGAATTACTTTATGGGTTTAGGCCACGGTTAAAATTTGATGTAAGTGTTAAAAGTCCGCAAAAACCGATGACGGTTTTTGTAGACGTATCTGTTTTAAAAAAAACTAAAGTGTTCTCGAATAGTTGAATTTAAATATTTTAAATAGTTTTTTTCTTTGTATTTTTTTGCTTCCTACGACGAAAAGTTAAGCTTTTTTTTGTTCGTTAAGCATATTTGTATATCTGTAAATGCATGAATAAACTTGTTGCGTTCTAAATTGCGCTTCAGCGAAAAATCTGTAGAAGATGAGATAATGCAATCCCTCCTCTCAAAACTTGGAATTGTTAGACTCAGTCCCGTCTAGCGTTACGGCATCTTCATCCCGTGTTTCAGCTCCTGCTATAAGGTATCCTAAAAGGATCTACCAAAAGATGCTTTACTAATAACAAGCAAAATAACAAAAAGTTCAGTTTGGTTTGGTTTTTTTTATTAGAACAGAAAAAAAGAATAGAGATGAAGATTTGTTGAGTTTTAAAAATTTACTACGGTTTTCACCCCATGTACGAATATTTTCGCCATACGAAAAGCTAGAATATAGAAATAAGGGGAATGAAATTAACTCAAGAATTTGTCAGACTAAGCAATAACTTTTATTCCAATGGAAACACATTGAATTATAATTTTGACTCAATTCTAGTAGTCAGAAATTCTAGTAGTGTGTTTTAGGTGTATTTTGGCTAAAGCTTATTTTATTATTATTTTCGGTTTTCATTAAAATTACACTTGTAATATTTATCTCATTATATTATACGTTATTCTGTAATATATATTTTTTTAAATAAAACAAGACTATGTTTCCTTACCGGATTGTAATCATTACCCGCTCTTCGGGCAAATTGGTTTATTATGACAATCTCTCCATTTTTTTCACATCTATTAAAAATTTGTGCAAGTACGTAATCAAAAGTATCTATTTTCATTCTCGTGTATTCCATAAATTTTGCAGGGTGTTTATTTTGCAGGCTTAATTGTTTATAAAGGTGGTGAAATTCTCCAAACCTGTTTTCCTCGTAAAACCAACCTCGTTTTCTCCGTGCAAGATCTAAAGAATTATGACAAACATATGATCGATAGTATAATCCAACTAGAATGGAACTTAGACATGAACGATAAGCTTCATGAAATTAAAAGGGACTACATAGTTTGAAAATAATGCCGTTATTTTGCCTAGAAGAGATTTCTTTGTGCTCACTAGAATTCGTTTAGGACACACGAAACTTACCCATGAACACCTCCTTAAAGGACAGAACCAGCCCAATTGTGAAACATATAATCTGGCAAACACATTATCTTTGAATGTCCAAAGTACGCCTTAAAACGAAGACAACACGGTATCGTGGATAACCCAGAGATAGCCGCTTCCTTCCAAAATAACAAGGCGATGTTGGATTATATAAAGGATATCGACATATATTTACGACCGTAATTTACAAAGTTGATCATTTGTCTCACGACGCCCTCTAAATTTTTAGTTTATTGTCTAAAAAAATGGCAGACCATTGTAAATTCTTAATATTCACAATAAACCTTGCCCCAAAGACGATTTATTTCCCATTTAAATTACATGGGAATTTGCAACTTTTTGCAAATAATTTTTTTCTTTCGATCTTGTTTTCTCGCAGCCATGACAATCACATATTCTTCGCTCTACAAAAAGGGTCTCTTACAATTTTTCGATAATACCTTCAAAAGTTATTCACGGTTAAAGTTAACCACTCGGTGAATTCCTAAATTTTTCAATTTTTTTTACTAAATTACGATTATTTTTGAAAATTTTAATCTATTGTTTGAAACAAAGCAATTTTCATGATCCATGATAAACAATTTTGAATTATGAAAAACAATTGAATGCATGACAGGTAGTTAATTCTAATACTTATTACTTTTGAGCTTGTATTCTTTTGCAGTACTTAATTAATTAATTTTAAGTAAGTTCGGTAAATTTCTGTTATTTTTTGTATTGAGTTTCTATATAAACGCTATAGAGCATATAAATAATATAGAGCAAGGAAACCCCAGCTTCTACATCCTGGAGACGCAGAACGCAGAATCGAGTTTTATAATTGGTATTTGGGAAGGTTAGAAGAAAATGAATTGTTGTTTGATCAGATTATCTGGAGCGATGAGTCAAGAATTTCAAGTGATGGTATATTCAGCCGGCATAATAATCATATTTGGGCAGATCAAAATCCCAACCAACAAGTAAACCGGGCAGCACAAGGATACTTTGGATTTAACGTATGATTTGCTTTACTGGGTAACAAAGTTCTTGCCTATGAAATCTACGAAGGTAATTTCAATTCTCACCGATATCTTCAAATTTTAGAAATACAAGTTCCATTTTTAAATAACTTCCCCTTGAGGGAAGGTAAACAAATATTCTTTTAACAAGATGGAGCTCCAGCTCATACTGCGGCAGTTGTAGTGGAATATCTTAACGCGAACTTTCGACAAAAATGGATTTCAAACAATGGACCAATCAGGTGGCCACCTAGATCTCTCCCTTGGACTTCTGTCTCTGGGGCTTTCTAAAAAACGAAACTTTTTCGAAATGCAAATAGAACATTAGAAGAGTTACAAGATAGTTTTGTTGTGGCTTTGCAAAGTGTAACCAACATACACATTCGTCACATTCGAAATGCTGTTAGCGGCGGTGGCGCGGCGCACGGTGGAGTATTAGCATGAAAAAGGTGATCGAAATTCGAAAAAGCAAATGTGTTTAAGATTTCCCAAAAATGATAAATGATAAGTTAAATCATGTCTGCTATGAATGGCGTTGCTATGGGTGTGTTTAGTTGCATTCATTTGTTTCAACGAAACGTCAAAGTTGTTACTTCTCACAGATAAGAGTAAATGGCTAAATTTTATGTTTAAAATTATAAATTGTTGTTGTTCTTGTGCTCCTTTTACGTTTATATTATTGTTTTGATTGAAAATGGCTCAGCAAGCTTTTTGTGTGCATTATTTAATGTAACTATTAGCAAGCATGCCAATAAACAATCTAATGAAGGATTATTATACACAATCGCAAGTAGGAAAGTAATCATAAATTTTCTCCACTTTTGGCCGGCACTGTATGTACCTCCAGCATTAATTTTTCCTCGTAAGCGCTTAAAACCTGAACTATTAAATGGGGCACCCGCCGAGTCCATAATGTTTGTATCCGATTCGGGATATATAAATTCAGATCTTTTTTGTCGTTGGCTAAATCATTTCCAAAAACACGTTAGACCTACAGCTGAAAACCCAGTGCTATTAGTTTTGGACAACCATGCCTCCTATTGCACTCTCGAGACCGTCACATTCTGTAAAACTAATAATGTTCACTTACTAAGTATTCCGCCGCATGCAGGCCATAAAGTTGAACCATTAGACCGAGCGTTTTTTAAATCCCTAAAAGATTTTTATAGTGACCTTTGCGATCAATGGCTCGTTAATAACCCGTGACAATGCATATCACAATCAGAAGTGGCAAAGATTTTTGGCGATCCCTATTCGAAATGTACAATTGAGAGAGCTTCAAATGCCTTTCGAGCTTGTGGTATTGTTCCGCTAAACCGAGTTATATTTTCCGAAGAAGATTTTCTGCGATCTAGTGTTACAGACCAAAGAGAGGAAAGTGAAGAAGAAATTATTGAAAATGTGATAGATAATTCTTCAAGTGATGATGAAATTCCTTTGGCTGCGTATGTGAAACGATTAAAAATGTTTTACTTTAGTATCATATTCAATTCAACCAGACACTTCTATGCCTAAAGCCTCAAAGCAAGTACCGTTTACTGAAGAGACCGTTGCACCCACTTCCAAATCATTGTCCAAACCTACAGAGTCCGTTGCATCCACCTCCAAATTAGTGTTCAGACCTACAGAATCCGTGGCATCCACCTCCAAATCAGTATTCAGACCTACAGAATCCATAGCATCTACCTCAAAGTCAGTGTTCAAGCCTACAGAATCCGCACCTCCTACCTCGAAGTCAATGTTAAAACCCGCAGAACCCGTACGCGTAATTCCTGAACAAAATAAAGACGAGAAAAACTTAAAATCCCCCAAGGATATTTTACCATATCCCAAGATCAAAGAAAAGAGGATCAGGCGTAGAAAAGGGAAAAAATCTACAATCTTAACATCTACCCCCAATAAGGAGGACTTAGAAAAGGAGATGCAGAAGAAGTTAGAGAAAGAGCGTAAGAAACAAGGTAAGAAATTCCTATCCTCAAAGAAAACTATTAAAATAATAAACATATTTAACTCTCCAAGATTTTCAACGCTATTCCCGACACCCGAAGTAAGGCCGAGACACACATTAATGCATCGCGTCCGCACCGTGCCCGCACCATGTCGGTGAAGATGACGCGAAACCACACTTGTCCGCACCGATCCGTGTGTCGACCGTGCGGTCTGTCTCATGATTGCAGTTCAGTATTATTTTAGAAGCTTACGGAGCTATTTCGTGGAGACAAAATTGTGTGGAGAAATTTTGTCTGTGAAGAAAAAAAAATTCGTGAAGAAAAAATGCATTCCTATATTTTTCGTTCGACTGGTCGTATAGCACTGGAAACTTTCTTATCTTTTCGATTAATTTTTCTACATCCATTTTAATATTAATGTTTATTATTATAATAATAATAATATACGAGTATTATATTAATTTAGTATTTAAAATATAATTAAAAAAATTCTTTACAAAATAGATTCGTACACCGCACCGTGTCCGTCAAAAAGTAAGCTAAATTAGTCGGGAACGTGGCGAGCTCGGTGCGGTGACGTTGCGATAAGTTGGGGACTACGCGCTTCTTTTACATTGTGCAATTCTCTCTCCGTGCGACGTCCAACACACGGCCGTCACACGGTGCGGATATGTGTATCCCGACCCGATTTGCATGTCCATGTCGTATTATTGTCTTGAATACTGCACGAGGTACGCCGCACGTACGTATCACACAACAAACGGATAACCGCCAACCGTTCAAAGAACCTGTTCTAATGATAGCTTCCACGCCCGCTTAGAGCACGCGACTCCCCTGCGGAGACCGGTGGGAAGTTCAATAGCCTCTCAATGCATATGATGAGGCTGC